TCATTAATGCAAATGGTCTATTTGTGGTACATTTTTAAATGAGTCACGTAAAGTTATTTTGATGAAATATCCCGACTTTAACTTTAGATTTGGTTAAAATGTCCGACTGAGCCACAAATCACAGAAGAGTGGTTCAAGTTTCATTGTCAAGGTTAACATCTATTAACTTGTTGGGTTTTTACAGTGTCTGGTTCTGATAAACGCTGTGATTTTGATGTATTTAAAAAAACGAACATGTTTTTTAAGCTTGAGTTTTGGGATTAAATCAGTGTTTATGTCCTTTTATTTTCCTCCTTTGCTTAGAGGTCAAATCAAAGGAAGCTGGAGGACTGCTCTTCTGCATGTCATAGAATCACATCTACTCATTCAGCATGTAGTGCATAAACAGAGCTCTCACCAATTTGACATTTAAATTTATTTTATCCAGTTGAAGAGTAACTTATATTTCTGCTAGATCATATCTGCGTATACTGTACCCTGCCCTGATGCCTGTAACCCTCTGACATTATCTATAAGATTCACATCAGGAAATAAACGCTAATTGGAAAAGCATTACTTTTTACTGTGTTATTGGATTGACGAAAAAAAAAAAAAAAAGTAGTCAATCAGATTTACTGAGCATAGCTAATCTATTTTATTACCCTTGGTGTTCGTCCACATACAGATATAAAGCAGCTATATAATGTAACACGCCGAGCAGTTTTTTAATCCGAATGGGTGCACAGCTGCTGATATAATGCAGTAAAAGGCGTCTTCAATAATTAGGTCTTAGCACTGAATATGTGTTTAAATAACATATTGGTACTGTAGGTGGGACCTGTGGCCTTATAGAACACGGTCACAGCGAGTGAGGCACAAATATATTGCAAGTTATAGTTTTTCAGTTCATTGCTGACATAATCTCTGAGTGGCAGCTATAAAAATCTATGCAAATTCCTTAAGCGCTGTCGTAAACCGAGCGCCATCATAACGTAAATTCGTTGATCCGGTGTGTCCAGAATTATGGTGGCGCTTAGAAACGAACAGCAGTAAATGCGGAATGACTCCCCATGAAAACGGCACCTGTCTGACTGCTCTGCTAATAAGGACCCTTTGCACACCTTTCTGGAATATTCAAAGCATGGCAACATTGTTTGTTAGGACAGAAGATAAGGCTTTAATGTCCATGCATTATTCATTCCTCCTTTGCATAGACTGGAAGGGGGGGTTGAGAATCAATTTGCTCCAGCTAGCTGTAAGGAAACTGTCTGGCAGAAGTGATGTCTTTTAATTAGATGATGTTACAGATATGAATGATGTCTGCCATGCTACTGATAGTGAGCACCATGTCATCGTTGAATAATTTGTTGAATGATGGCTCACTGCGTCATGGGTAAACAGATAAGGTGCCATCTATCAAGAAGTGTCATTAACTTTTGGTAGCAGTTTGACAGATACATTGGAGTATTGACTGTCAGACAGTAAAATCAACTACATGCAGTATCAAGGCAGATAAAAGACGCCTTTTGTAGCACAAAATAAATGAGGAAACCTATAATACAACAGTATAATACGGGGTTTCCCTGGGTTCTTGGAGGGTTTAGGTGCCATCTATGCAGGGGGTGGGTTAGCATTTTAGACTTTTGTGACAGCTAATCTTCTTCCTGCTTGTCAGAGATTTATTTCCTCCATGACAGTAAAACATTTTACAGGAGCCTTTACAACTTACCAAACCATTCTGATTAACCCTTTAAACACTCAATGAATGCACGTTATCCTTACACATTCTAAAAACAGAGAATTATTGGGCTTTAAACACTCCGATGTTCCTTGAACTAATCCTGGCTGATACATCGTTCCACTGGAAATTAAAGTCTAAATATGTGATATGCGTTTCAAAATCAATTTAAAAGTTTAAAAATAAACCATTTGCGATAACCAAAAAAAAGAAAAACTGCACTCTTCAGTGCAGCCAAGAAGCCATGAGTGATTCAGCTGCAACCAGTGGTACCCTGACAAAAAATAAATGAATTGTGTGAACTGCAGGCTGTGCTTAGACAGAGCAGAAATTGATTGAGTGACTGAGAGCAAAATAAAACATCAATATAATAAATGCAGCATAGCTTAAAGACTGTATACAGAGGAGCACGTTGTCAGTAAGGTGATGGAAGATACATTCAAGATGGTGACATATCCTTCCAGAGTTAAGTGAAGCATGTAAGAAGTAATATGTTTATGGTATGTAGAGGTAGCTTTTTTTTTCGAGTATTGAAAACACCTGTGGGACATTTGTTTTAAAAATTTTTAAGGTAAAATTATTAATCAAAGAAATTCATCCCTCATTTTTTTTCCTCCGTTCTTATGATTCATAGCATTAAAGCACACAATACAAAACACATTAAAATCACCAAAAAACACAGTCATTGCATTCTGTGCTGTGCCCCAGTTAGT